TAGAGATGAGGTCTTGCTGCCCAGGCGGGTCTCGAACCCACAGGCTCAGGCCATCCACTCGCCTCAGCCTCCCAAAGGCGTGGGATTACAGGCTGAGCCACCGAGCCCGGCTGGGGTCATCTCTTAAGGAAACCAGGGACTCAGGCATGAGATGTGGGCGCCGTGTTCCCTGTTCGGTTTTGTCTCCTGGAGCACTGCAGAAAGAGCAGCCATGGCTCCTTTCCTTGGCCGCTTGGTCTCATCCCTTGAGCACATGAGGACTTCAGTGATTCTGCTGGATTTTCATTCAGATCCTGGGGTTAGGTGTCCGGGTCATTTCCGTTTCCAGTGTCATGTGAGTCTGCAGCACCTGGGGCTGGGCTGGGGTGTCTGAGGCCAGCAACTCCGGCCTCCAAAGGGGGGTGCCGACTGGCTCTCTGGGGAGCCTCCCCCCCTGCAGGGCCTGCAGCCGCTCAGAACTGCTGCAAGAAGCCTTGGCGGTTTGGACGGGTATATCCCAGTGCACAAGTGCTTGGGGACACTGTGTCCTCACTGGGGCTGTTCTTCTGGTGGCCTTGGGGAAGTTTCCTGATGGTTTGGCTCCAGGATGCGTCACCAGATGGCAGGGTCTGTGCTGTGGTCCTCGGTTCTTGTGTCTCTCGACAAAGAATTGAAGACGAGACACAGCCAAGTACGGTGGCTCACGCCTGTCATCCCAGTGCTTTGGGAGTTGGAGGCGAGAGGATTGCCTGAGCCCAGGGGTCTGAGACCACCCTGGGCAACTTGGCGAGACCTCATCTCTACAAACATCAAAAAATTAGGCGGGTGTGGTGGTGCAAGCCTGTAGTTCCAGCTCCTTGGAAGGCTGAGGCGGAAGGATCGCCGGAGCCCAGCGGTCGAGGCTGCGGTGGCCGGGAGCGTGCCACTGTCCTCCAGCCTGGGCGACAGAGTGAGACTCCAACTCAGAAAGAAAGAAGAAAGCACACATAAACAATTGCAGATGCAAGTGGCCGTTTTATTAAAAGTGGAAGTACACTCCAAACCGCAAGAAAGACGGAGCGATCGGCTGTCTGAGAATGGATCGGCCCCAAACTTTTATGTTTTTTAAAAAAAATAAATAAAAAACTTCCTTTTTCCTCGTTCTACTCCTGTCAGTCTGCTTTTTTTGTAATTGGATGGACAGGTCTTGTGCTGCATAACCCTTGGGACTGCTATGTGGGTTTCCTAACCAAAACCCATGGGGGCAAGGAGTGGAAACGTAGTTAAAACAGTGCTAGTCCATGCCAATGATGTGGTAATAATAACCCAAAGGTCCTACGAGGAAGATTTTAGGCTTCCGGTGCGCACGCGTGCGAGTCTGGCCTGTCCTGGTGGGTCAAGTCTATCTGAGGCAGGATGCTGCCACCGCAAGATGGAAGGACTTTCCATCTGGAGCGAGGAACTTGGGGTGGAGCCTGGGCTGAAAGGGGGAGCCTGGGGGGGGCTGCAGGCAGGCTCCCTCAGGGCCAGGCCCCTCCTGCCCACGTCTAACTGCTGCCTGCCATGGGCGGAGTTCTGGTGGCCAGTGTGACTTGTCCAGCCTGAGACCATCTGTGAAGCTCAGGCCTAGGACAGACTCCTTAGGTGCCGCTGCTGTTGACCAGGTTTGGGAATGGAGTGGGTTTGGTCAGCTGAGGGTTTCCGGGCTGGTGAGAAATGAAGCCCCGGAGGAGGGAGAAGGTGTGGAGACAACCAGAGGCAGGTTCCCTCGGTGCCCAGGGTTCCCTCCCTCCGCCCCTGGGCGTGCCCTCCCCTCCAGGGGTACGCCTCTGCAGGGAGAGCCTGTCCCCCAAGCTTGGGAGTGCACTTGACTTTCAGGCTTAGGGTCTTCTTGTGCAGTGTGTGAAGCAGGCGGCTGACCTGAGCTGCTGCTGTCAGTAGCCGCAAGCTTGGTCACTTGTCACCCAAAGCCAAACTCAAGAGACGAGAGATGGTGGAAGGAAAGTGACTTTATTCCGAAAGCTGGAAAAGGGGGAGTCACCAGGCTCATGCCTCAAAGAAACCATTTCAGCCTTTTAGGCTGACTGCCAAGGTTTAAAAAGGGAAACTTGGGATGAGAAGCATGCAGGCATGGCCCAGGGTGTGTCTTGATGGGCTGTTTTGGGTGGAGGTCTTCCCGGAGGTGTTGGTGTGATCCAGCTCCTTGGAAGGCTGAGGCGGAAGGATCGCTGCAGCCAGGTAAAGGATCAGCTGTCTCATGACTCCCTTCAAGTGGGAGGGTCCTGCAGGCAGGCTGGTTTTTTTTGTTTGTTTGTTTTGTTTTTTTGAGTTGGCGTCTCACTGTCGCCCAGACTGGAGTGCAGTGGCCACTCTCGGCCACCGCAGCCTCGACCTGCTGGGCACCGGCGATCCTTCCGCCTTAGTCTTCCCAGTAGCCAGAACTACAGGCACGCGCTACCACGCCCGGCTAATTTTCTGATTTCTTGTAGAGATGAGGTCTCGCTGCCCAGGCGGGTCTCGAACCCGCGGGCTCAGGCAATCCACTCACCTTGGCCTCTCAAAGCGCGGGATTACAGGCTGAGCCACCGAGCCCGGCTGATTGATTGGTTTTTAAAGTATTTATGTATGTATGTATGTTGGAGTCTCACTGTCACCCAGACTGGAGTGCAGTGGCCACTCTCGGCCACCGCAGCCTCGACCTGCTGGGCACCGGCGATCCTTCCGCCTCAGCCTTGCGAGTAGCCAGAACTACAGGCACGCGCTACCACGCCTGGCTAATTTTCTGATTTATTGTAGAGATGAGGTCTCGCCAAGTTGCCCAGGCGGGTCTCAAACCCGTGGGCTCAGGCAATCCACTCACCTCGGCCTCCCAAAGCACAAGATTACAGGCTGAGCCCGGCTGATTGATTGGTTTTTAAAGTATTTATGTATGTATGTATGTTGGAGTCTCACTGTCACCCAGACTGGAGTGCAGTGGCCGCTCCTGCCACCACAGCCTCGACCTGCTGGGCCCAGGCAATCCTTCCACCTCAGTCTTCCAAGTAGCCGGAATTACAGGCATGCGCTACCATGCTCGGCTGATTTTTTTTTGGATTTATTGTAGAGATGAGGTCTCTCCAAGTTGCCCAGGTGGGTCTCGAACCCGCGGGCTCAGGCAATCCACTCACCTCAACCTCCCAAAGGCACGAGATTACAGGCTGAGCCACCAAGCCCGGCTCCAATGACATATTTAAAGATTATTACCTAACTATACTTGTCTTAGGGTTCCAAGTTTTAAAACTTTTGGCAGTGCTAAGTGCAAGTGGTGGCACAAAACAGGCCCTCGAAACTGAGAGGCGACATTATGGTTGCATCGAGATGCGCTTCTGTGCCAAACTCCCTTCGTTTGTATGATGGTAGGGAAGGTGGGGACGGGAGAGGAAGTGAGAAGATGATGAGATCGTAGCTGCAGAGTCCTTAATGCTGAAAAATAGAAAATTTCATCCACTTTCCTCCATAACAAAACACAAAAAACTCCCACCTGCTCTTATAAAAGGGGTCAAGTTTTGCTGTTTTAAAATGTCAAAGCCGGGCTCGGTGGCTCAGCCTGTAATCCCATGCCTTTGGGAGGCTGAGGTGAGTGGATTGCCTGAGCCCGCGGGTTCGAGACCCGCCTGGACAACTTGGTGAGACCTCATCTCTACAATAAATCAAAAAACAAATGAGTCATGTGTGGTAGCGCGCGCCTGTAGTTCCAGCTACTGGGAAGGCTGAGGCGGAAGGATCGCCAGAGCCCAGCAGGTCGAGGCTGCGGTGGCCGGGAGCAACCATTGCACTCCAGTCTGGGTGACAGAGTGAGACTCCAACTCAAAAAAAAAAAAAAAAGATGTCAAACCCGCTGAGGGGTCCCCAAGACCACACCCAGGCTCAGTGACTCACGGGGGCCTTAAGGCTGAGGTTTATCACAGTAGAAGGACACAGCGTCAGGTACCAGCACAGGGAAAAGGTCCGGGACTGAAGTGGGGTAACCAGGCCCAAGCTTCCAGGTGTCCCCTCCACTGGAGTCCTGCAGATGCTTTCATGGCGCCAGCCACTAACTGAGCTTGGGGGACTCTTGCCGCCCGAGACGCTCTGTAATGACAGCGCCAGCATGTCCACGGGGACTGGACATGCAGCCATCACTGCTTGGCAAACACCAAGATTCCAGGTCCTGCGGGGGAGGCAGGTGTCTTACAGAAGCCCCACTGCCTGCACTGTTTGGACACAGAGCTGACCTGGTGAGCACCATTTCCAGGGCACACGCCTGCCGCGCAGTGCAGCCCCTTGGCTCTTATGACAGTAAGGTAATCACCGACAGCACCCACACGGCCGGGTGAGACGTCCATGCAGAACTCGCCCCAGCTATGCCCGTGGGGGGCTCTGGGCTTCGTTAAAACCAAGGTCTAGCTCAGAAGGCCACCTGGCTTCCTTGGACCTCTCGGTTAGCTCTTTTCACCTGGCCTGAGTCGAGGAGTGGCACAGCCCACCTCTGGCCAGGACTCTGAAGCTGACCTGGGTGGCCTTCCACAGCTCAGGCTGTGCCACAGAGTTTCACACTCAAGCAGTCCCCAGGGACACACGAGGTGCTGCTAGGAAGAATTTACAGTCGTCAGGGCACCCACCCGAGACCTATGTCAGCCAGCCAGGAAGGCAAACAGCCCCTAACACGGCCCCGGCCTGGGAGTTCTCAGTCCCACCACACGCTTCAGTTTCGCCTAATTTCCAAGGTGGGGTGTGAGGCGGCAGCTCCCAGCGGTCTGCCTGCCCGAGACCTCAGCTCACCCCTTCCTGATGTGGCCTAGTTCTGAGGGCACGGACAGCAGCAGGGCCACACCACGCCGTGTCTGGAGTTGCCAGCGTGCGCGAGGCTCGGCGGGCCTGCATTCGAGCAGTCACAGGAGTTTTAGAAAGATGACACAGGGAGCGATTTCATGCCTTCGGATGAAGCCTACAGGAAGAATTCTGAAAAAGCACATGGACAGTGGCCTCTGCACTGCCCCAAGCACCATGCTTTTGGATATTTGCTGCTGTCACAAAACCACTGTGTCCCGATGAACAGTCATAACTATATATTTTAAAAGTCATCTCCTACGGTCATTGAGATCTTTCTTCTGGAATGGCTGTGTGGAAGAGGAACAATCATTTTTATACAACGGACTTAAAAAGACACATCAGGCCGGGCGTGGTGGCACAGCCTGTCATCCCAGCACCTTGGGAGGCCGAGGCAAGAGGATTGCCTGAGCCTAGGGGTTCGAGGCCAGCCTGGGCAACTTGGTGAGACCTCGTCTCGACAATAAATCGCAAAAACTAGCCGGGTGTGGTGGTGTGCGTCTGTAATTCCAGCTACTTGGAAGGCTGAGGTAGAAGGATCACCAGAGCCCAGCAGGTCGAGGCTGCAGTGGCTGTGAGCATGCCACTGCACTCTAGCCTGGTGACAAGAGTGAGACTCCAACTCAAAAAGAGATTTCCAATCACAGAGTTATGTTGGTGACCTGACAGCATCCCACCCAGAGCATGGCCTCACCACAAGCCAAACCTGAGACTGTGTCCTTTTAAACAATCTGTGCAATGTCCCACAATCCTTCAAAGTGGGTGTTCATTCATATTGTGGTAACTATGTTCAACTTTCCTCGACTAAATGTATGATTCTTGGGGTCTCTGGCTAGACTGCATTGGAAAATGAAGTTTTTGCTATTAATGAATAAGAAACCATGTTAGCGTCAAAAGTTTTAAGTCCATAAAAAGAACAGAATTTACCTTGAAGAAAAATGCATGAACTTGTATACCCCTGGTCATACTGACTAATAAATGGCGCTTAAATGGACAGAAATCTCAAAGCTCATTTCATACTCCATGGTTGCAATGGAATATTTCAATATATCGTCATAGTAAATTAAAAGTAAACCAAATATAACTTGTTGGTATACAACTTACCTGAATATAGCTGATACAATATTTCTAAAAAACACCTAAATAAGATTTTGACAAAAAACATATTGCTTTAATTTTTTTGAGTCGGAGTCTCAACTCTGTCACCCAGGCTGGAGTGTAGTGGCATGCTCACAGCCACCGCGCCTCGACTGCTGGGCTCACACGATCCTTCCACTTCAGTCTTCCAAGTAGCTGGAACTACAGGCATGTGCCACCATGCTTGGCTAATTTTTTGATTTATTGTAGAGACAAGGTCTCACCAAGTTGCGCAGGTGGGCCTCAAACCCCTGAGCTACAGCAGTCCTCTCGCCTCCACCTCCAAAGTGCTGGGATGACAGGTGTGAACCACCATGCCCAGCAAAAGTATTGCTTCTAATAACATATAATCAAAGATAGCAATTTGACAGACACTGAGGGCTTGCATTCAGCTCTGAGTTTTAAGAACATCCTACAATCTGCCTGATGGATGTTATTCTCACATGGGTGTACTCAGAGCAGTCATTTAATAGTACAGCACAAAACAGTGTCATATGTTTTTTGTTTTTTGTTTTGAGTTGGAGCCTCACTCTGTTGCCCAGACAGGAGTGCAGTAGCCGCTCCTGGCCACCGCAGCCTCGACCTGCTGGGCTCCGGGCGATCCTTCTGCCTCAGCCTTCCGAGTAGCCAGAATTACAGACGTGTGCTACCACACCCGGCTGATTTTTTGATTTATTGTAGAGATGAGGTCTCGCCAAGTTGCCCAGGCGGGTCTTGAACCCGCGGTCTCAGGCAATCCACTCACCTCAGCCTCCCAAAGGCGCAGGATTACAGGCTGAGCCACCGAGCCCGGCTGTGTCATATGTTTATACATGCACAAGTGGATGTGTGTACAATTTTGACTGTCGTGTATGTGGTCATGATTGAATCAAAAACACAGAGCCACAGCGGTATTGAGAGAATGACATGTTCAGCACATAAACTATACCTCATAAAAATAAGGTAAGATATAGAGGAGAGGGGACTCAGAGCTTCAGCGATTATTGCCAACTATGACCGTCTGGATCAGGGCCCTGTGGACGCGCTTGGTTGCAGAATTCCACAGCAAACAATCACGGAGGCATCTGGCTGGAAAGCAGACCTCTTGTGAGGGTGAAGTCAAGCAGCTGGCATTTGCTTTGAAGCTACTCTTGATTAAGGGGCGGGGATCAATATAACGATATGGCATGTGGCTTCCACGAAGCCACCTGTGTCACCTGTTTGTTTCCAAGTATGGTGGCTCTAAAAAGTGGACAATGACTTCTCTGACTTTCAAACTCCAGGCAAATTAGGCAGTTAGCCAAGTCTAACTTAGAACCCAAAAGGGAAGTCGTTCAGGAAAATGTTCCCAGCCTTTCCTGTATACTAGTAACAATGTCCAACATGACCATTCCCATCCGTAGATCTCATTATTGTGTTATAGGTCTCCACTCTTCCTTCAGAACCTACTGACCATTTCCCAGAACAGCAAAGAAAAAGAGCAAATTGCAAAAATAAAATTTGGAAAGAAAAGTAGAATATATGAATTAGGTAAGTGATATCCACTATCTGCCACACTAGGCCAGTAAGAAAATTACAAAAATGCCAAAGTTTCATTGTTTTATTGATGCCTTACATAAATATTTTTAAACTATATAAAAATCACACTCATTGTCATATCAAAAGTATACTTCAAATCACCATGGTTCCAATATCCTTCAAAATAAAGAGAAAATAATTAAATGAAAGAAACACCTAACTACTCACATTTATGAATCACAGCTAAAGGAGAACTGAGATGATTTTTCTCACATAAAAATTTATTTTTGGCCAGGCTCGGTAGCTCAGCCTGTAATCCCAGTGTTTTGGGAGGCCGAGGTGAGTGGATTGCCTGAGCCCGCGGGTTCGAGGCCCATCCGGGCAACTTGGCGAGACCTCATCTCTACAATAAATCAAAAACTAGCCGGGCGTGGTAGCGCGCTACTTGGAAGGTGGAGGCTACTTGGAATTCTGGCTACTTGGAAGGTGGCTACTTGGAAGGTGGAGGTGGAAGGATCGCCAGAGCCCAGCGGGTCAAGGCTGTGGTGGCCGCTCCAGGAGCGGCCACTGCACTCCAGTCTGGACGACAGAGTGAGACTCCAACTCAAAAAAAATTTATTTTTGTATTTTGTACTTTATGAAGTATTGACAAAGACAGTACCATTTTGTATGGCTTGCAAGACTTCTCTCCTGGTTGGAATGTTCTGGCACATCATATATGAATTAACATGAAATTTCCCCACGTTACTTACAGTTAGAGAATCTGTAGTATGTGCTCTCAGCAGGTTTGAGAATGACTTGACGATTAAAGGCATTCGGATGTTATGCACATTCACAGGGTTTCTATTCCGTGTGCATTCTCACATGGTTTCGAAAGGCTGAGGGCCACTTGAAGGATTTCCCACATTGTTTACATTCATGAGGCTTCTCTCCAGTGTGCAATCTCATATGTTTTTGCAAGGATGAGGGCCAAGTGAAGGCTTTCCCGCATTGCTTACATTCATAGGGTTTCTCTCCAGTGTGTGTTCTCAAGTGACCTTGAAACGTTCTGGAAGAAGTAAAAGCCTTCCCACATTTTTCACATTTACAGAGACGCTCTTCAGTGTGAATTCTCACATGTTCTCGAAAGGTTGAGGGTCAACTGAAGACTTTTCCACATTGCTTACATTCATAAGGCTTCTCTCCAGTGTGAGTTGGCACGTGACCTTCAAAAGATTTGGGAGGATTGAAAGCCTTCCCACATTTTTCACAGTTATAGAGTTTCTCTCCAATGTGCAATCTCACATGCACACGAAAGGTTTCAGGCCAGCCGAAGGCTTTCCCACACTGCTTACATTCATAGGGCTTCTCTCCAGTGTGAGTCTTTTCATGTCTTTGAAAAGACTGGGGGTAACTGAAGGTTTTCCCACATTGTTTACATTTATAGGGTTTCTCTCCAGTGTGTGTTATCATGTGTCTTTAAAATGTTGAGGGGTAAGTGAAGGCTCTCCCGCAGTCCTTACATTTATATGGCTTGTCTTTTGTATGTGTTCTCACATGTCTAGTGAAGCTTGAGAACTCAGTAAAGGCCATCCCACACCGCTCGCATTGGTCGGTTTTCTCTGCCGAGTGACTCTTCGTATGGTGACTGAGGGAATGGAGATGACAAAAACGTTTCCCACGTGATTTACACGCGTAGGGTTTTCCCCAGTGTGTGTGATCGTGTGCCTTTGAAAGACTGAGGGATAAATGAAGACTTTCTCACATTCCTTACATTTGTAAGGCTTCTCTCCGAAGTGAGTTCTCACATGTCTAGTCAAACTGGAGAAGTGTTTGAAGATGAGCCTGCATTGGTTGCATTCATAGGTTTTTCCCGAAGTGTGAATCTTTATGTGTTGAGTGAGGGAATAGGAATGGTGAAAGGTTTTCCCACATAATTTGCATTCGTAGGGATTCTCTCCAGTGTGTGTTACCATGTGTCTCTGGAAGATGGAGGGATAAATAAAAGCTTTCCCACATTTCTTACATCTATGGCTTCTCTCCCTCACATGTGCACCCTCACATGTCCAGTAAGACAGGAGAACTCAACGAAGACTTTCCCACAGTGCTTGCATTTGTAGTTTTTCTCTGAAATGTGAGTCTTGATATGTTGAGTGGGTAGAAATAAGGAAAGGTTTTCCCACATGACTTACATCTGTAAGGTTTCTCTCCAGTATGAGTTCTTACACACCCACTTAGGTGCGAGGGACAACTGCAGGCCTGTTTACACTCCTGACACTGATATGCTTTTTTGTCCACATTGAGATCTGACATGCCTCTTAAGAGAAGCACCGTGCATGAAGACTGTCCCACACTTGGTGCATTCATACTGTTTTTCTCCTGGAGAAATTTTCCTGGACGGAGTAAGATTTGGTCTGTGACTAAAGACGTCTCCACATTGATTATCTTCATTACTTTTACAGAATCTGTCCACATGATTTCTGTTAAAAGTGAGAAACATTAATGGTATATTTATTAATGATCTGTTAATGTGTATATATCTATTTTTAGTTAGGGTCTCACTCTTGCCTAGGCTGAAGCGCAATGGTGCAACCACAGATCACTACGGCCTGACCTCCTGAGCTCAAGTGATCCTCCTATCTCGGCCTCCTGAGTAGCTGGGACTACAGGTGCACACCACTATGTCCAGCTAATTTTTTTTCAATGGAGACAAGTTCTAGCTATGTTACGTAGGTTGGTCTCAAACTACTGGGCCCAAGTGCTCCTCCTGCCTCGGCCTCTCAAAGTGCTGGGATTATAGGCGTGAGGCCAGAACTACATGTCTAAGTATATTTTTGTATACGTGAGCTGTTTCTATTCCAAACTGTTTGAAAGTAAAATGAACTATATTCTCTGGAGGAGGGCTCAGACATATTTATTAACAACACAGTGTTTATTATATATGGGGCTTCCCTGTAATTATTTCTGTAAGCAGATGCGTTATTCATTGTGTAACTGGCTCCCTCCTGTAATTATTTCCAACTGAATTATGTTTCAAACTCTCAATGTCTAAATCAAAAAAATTTTTCTTGATTAAATTCTTGTGAATGAAAAAATTTGGATTTAATTCGCTTATTCATGACATATTAAGATTCTATTCTGGAATACTGCTTTCTCTTGTGAATGCAACTTACCTCAGATGTGTCCCCTGTTTTTTCTGTTGATCTTCAGTGCTATGGTCCTCACAATTTTTTTCTAAAATGTGGGCACAGGAATTTTTTTTTTTTGTGAACTTTGGTATTTTCTGTTCCTTAGATACTTTTTCCCCATACATATCCTGCTGAGAAACCGATCCACTGGCTTTAAATTGAGTCTCAACATCTGAAACAAAAGAGTGAACCAATCTCATAAGGAAGAAGACATTTATGAGCAAAGGAAGGCAGTAAGGAGTTCAGCATTTTGAGGACTTCAAAATATTTCAGTAGCTACAGTAAAATTATGTCACAGGTTTCATACAAGAACCCTATCTGTGATCCAAAATGCCCAATTGCCGATCCCAATGCTGATGACACTAAAGGAGCTTCCAGTTCTTAAATCAAGACAGAAGTAACCTAGCACACAGGTTTTCACTGTTATACAATAACGATTAGGTTCTAGGTGCATGGTGGCTGCAACTGTGTCGGTCTCGGTTTATCAAATGTGCTCTCTTTCCACATTCCACACCTTCGGGCAGCAATGAGGGGCAAGCAACCTGTTCACTAAGTCACTAAGTGAAGAAATGATGTTGCATTCACCCATGGAGGCCAGGTTCTGGAAGGTTTCCAGCATCACATCTCTGTAAAGGGTCCTCTGAACAGAATCCAGTAGAACCCATTCCTCCACAGTGAAGTTTCACAGCCACATCCACAAAGACCACCGCGTCCTAAGACCTCCAACATTGTGAGCAGAGAGTGGGTGAGAATGAAAGCACTGAGGAACTGCACTCAATTCAAAAGGTGCAAACTAGACACTCCAGGATGTGAAGTTAGATCTCTTACTCTTTGGTCACAGTCACTTCCTAATAACAGCACCACTGACTGGCTGAGCTGATTTCTACATTTTTATTGTGGCTACTCTCATTCTCTATCAGCAGGGTCTAAAGAAAGATGCTATACAAATGAAATAAATTCTTCAATTTGAAATGGTGCGGTCAAGGGATAACCCAGGAAGCTTCTTTACAGATCTTTAGGACTAGCCTCTGATCAGCCACTGGGAGAAACTGTATGCCCTTGAAATATCCGGCCTGATAAATGTGCAGGTGGGAACACGGGACTCACCAGAGAGTGGATGCTGACAGCGTGAATTATGAAGGCTTGCTCTGGTCTACCTGGAGCCTGGGGCCACACTGTCTCAGTCAGGCCTGTGCATGAGCTGGATACTATGAAGCTGAGGTCAGTCACGTGGGTACCCCACAGTAGCATGCCTAACCCACAATAAAACCCCTGAGCTCCAAGGCTGGCGTGGGCTTTGCTACGTCATTAACATTCCATATGTGTTGTCACACATCGCTGTTGGGAAAATCCAGCTCTGTTCAACTCCACGAGGTGGGAGGTGGATAAAGTGAAGTCTGAGTCTGGTTCCTCCTGGCCTCTTTCCCGTGTGCTTTTTTCCTTTGCTATTTTATTTTTATTTTTATTTTTTTGAGTTGGAGTCTCACTCTGTCGCCCAGACTGGAGTGCAGTGGCCGCTCCCGGCCACCGCAGCCTCGACCTGCTGGGCTCCGGCGATCCTTCCACCTCAGCCTTCCAAGTAGCTGGAACTACAGGCGTGTGCTACCACACCCGGCTAATTTTTGGTTTATGTAGAGATGAGGTCTCGCCAAGTTGCCCAGGCGGGTCTCGAACCCGCGGGCTCAGGCAATCCACTCACCTCAGCCTCCCAAAGGCGCGGGAATACAGGTTGAGCCACTGAGCCCGGCTGCTATTTTTTTTGAATAGGAGTCTCTGTTGCCTAGGCTGGAGTGCAGTTGCATGCTCACAGCTACTGCAGTCTCGACCTGCTGGGATCAAGAGATCCTTTCACTTTAGCCTTCCAAGTAGCTGGAACCACAGGCATGCGCCACCACACCTGGCTAATATCCTGGTTATTGTAGAGAGGAGGTCTCGCTAAGTTGCCCAGGCTGGTCTCTAACCCCTGGACTCAGGCAATCCTCTCACCTCTGATTCCCAAAGTGCTGAGATTACAGGTGTGAGCCACCATACCCGGCTTCCTTTGCTAACTTTAATATGCATACTTTCTCTGTAATAAACTACAACAATGACTGTAACAGCTTTTATGAAATACATATTTCTGTGAAATAAATAATTCTGTGAGTCTTTGCAGTGAATTCTCATGATTGAGTGTGTTTTTCAGGATCCCAGACACACAAAAAGCCCATCAATTTCTGTGATAAAAAGCAATTTACCAGAGAGGCTTAACAGTAGATCGAAATTGGCAGAAGAAAGAACTGGCGAGCTTGAAGATACTCATAGAAATTACACCATCTGGGGAACAGTATAAAGAATGAAGATAAAGGAACGGAGCCTTTGGGAAACTGGGACACCATTAAGTGTACCAGCACACATGCAAGGGCAATACAAGAAGAAGCGAAAAAGCAGAAAACGTTCAGAGAAATAAGGCTGAAAACATCCTAAGTTTATTGAAAAAACACCAACTTACACATCCAGAAATTCAATAGACTCCAGATAGGAAAACTGCAAAGATATTTACAGATACATTACAGGAAAATAGTGAAAGTCAAAGACCAGAAGAACATTCTTGAAAGCAGCAAGAGAAACATGACTTATCACTTAAAAGGGAACCACAGCCAGGCTCGGTGGCTCAGCCTGTCATCCCGCGCCTTTGGGAGGCTGAGGTGAGTGGATTGCCCGAGCCCGCGGGTTTGAGACCCGCCTGGGTAACTTGGCGAGACCTCATCTCTACAATAAATCAAAAAAGCAGCCGGGTGTGGTGGCATGTGGCTGTAGTTCCAGTTACTTGGAAGGCGGAGGCGGAGCCCAGCAGGTCGAGGCTGCGATGGCCGGGAGCGGCCACTGCCCTCCAGTCTGGGCGACAGAGTGAGACTCCAACTCAAAAAAGGAAAGAAAAAGAAAGACATGCATTTACATCATTTTCTGAAGTGATTTTTTCCCCCAGAGTCGGAGTCTCTCTGTCGCCCAGGCTGGAGGACAGTGGCATGCTCACGGTCACTGCAGGCTTGACCTGCTGGGCTCAGGTGATCCTTCCACCTCAGCCTTCCAAGCAGCTGGAGTCACAGGCAAACACCACCACACCAGGCTAATTTTTTTTTATTGTAGAGACAAGAGCTCGCCAAGTTGCCCAGGCTGGTCTCGAACCCCCAGACTCAGGCAATCCTCTCATCACTGCATCCAGCTCCTATTTTTTTTCTTTGAAGCCACAGTGTCTCCTGTTGAGTATACAGCTGGGTTGTGTTTATCCATTCTCACCTCTGCCTTGTAATTGGGTTGTGTAATCCAGTCCCATATAATGTTACCATTGATGTACTCATACTTACATTTGCCATGTTACTTTTTATTTTCTGTGCCTGATGTCTGTTTTGTTGCCAGACTCCTTTTTGGCTGTCCATCTGTGTTAAGTGAATATTTTCTTTTTTTTTTTTTGAGTCGGAGTCTCACTCTGTCGCCCAGACTGGAGGGCAGTGGCCACTCCCGGCCACCGCAGCCTCGACCCGCCGGGCTCCGGCGATCCTTCCACCTCAGCCTTCCGAGTAGCCGGATTACAGGCGCGCACTACCACACCTGGCTAGTTTTTTTATTTATTGTAGAGATGAGGTCTCGCCAAGTTAAGTGGATATTTTCTAATGAAACATTTCAATTAGTTTAATTACTTTATCACTTGTTTTAGGTCTTTTGAATTTGGTTGCTTTGGGGCTTACTATATTATCAGTGTGAGGCTTAGCTCATCAAATCAGCTTCAGATTTATAATACCTTAATTCAAGCGAGATATAGAAAAGTTTCTCCTCTAGCTTATTTTTTCTCCATCTTACAGCCTTATTGTTATACATACTACCTCTATTAATATTACAACTGAACAATATAAGTTTTAATTAATACTTTAACATCTCTAGTCATTTGCTTTGCCAGGTACACCTTTACCTCCAGCCTCATCTGTGCTGGTAGTGGCAAATAGATTATATTACATTCTTATGTGCTATTCACCCAATAATACATTATAAATATATTTGCACAGCTGCTTTTAAGGTGAAGGCTGCCACTTCACTCCAGCCTGGGTGACAGAGTGAGACTCTGATTCCAAAAAAAAAAAAAAAACAGGTTGAAAGTAAAGATGGAAAAAGATGTGCAAACAAGTATATCAGACACAAACAGCAAAACAATATTATTAGAGACTGAGGAGACTGTATAATGACATAAAGGTCAATCCATCAGAAAGACATAACAATTATAAACACATGCGTACCTAAAAACAGAGCACCAAAATACATGAAGAAAAAATGACAAAAATGAAGAAAAAGATAATTAATCAACAGTTGGAAACTTTAATACTTTACTCTTAATGGATAGAACAACTAGATAGAATACAAGGAAATTAAAGAATTGAACACTATGAGCCATTTAGACCCAATAGATATCTATGGAAACTCAACAATAGCAGAACATGCATTCTCAAGTGCAAAAAGAACATTCTCTAGAATAGACAATTTTCTTCGTCATAAAACAAACCTCAATACATTTAAAATGATAGAAATATACAAAATATGCTCTCTGACCACAATGGAATGAAACTGGAAACCAATACAGAGAAAATATTTGGTAAATTCTTAAGTATGTGGAAATTAATGCCATCCTCCATAACCAATGGGTTGAAGAAGAAATCAAAAGGGAAACCGGAAAATACTTTGAGGTTAATGGAAATCGAGACATAACACACCAAAACTTATGTGAAGCAACTAAAGTATTTAGAAGGAAATTAGTAGGTGTAAATGCCTACACTAGAGAAAAGATAAGTCAATAATTTTCCACCTCAAGACACTAGAAGAAGAAAGCTAAAGAAATCAGGAGGAAGGAAATATTAAATATTATGGCAAAAACTAATGAAAAATAATAGTAATAGAGAAAATCAATGACACTAAAACCTGTTGTTTGAAAAGACCAACAAAGCAGATTTAGCTAGATAAACAAGAATAAAAGAGACTCAAATCACTAAAACCAGAAATGAGTGAACATTGCTACTGACCTTAAAGAAATAAGATTTTTTTTTTTTTTTAGTTGGAGTCTCACTCTGTCACCCAGGCTGGAGCGCAGTGGCAAACTCACGGCCACTGCAGCCTTGACCTGCTGGGTTCAGGCGATCCTTCTGCCTCAGCCTTCCAAGTAACCAGAACTACAGGCGTGCGCTACCACGCCTAACTAATTTTTTACTTATTGTAAAGATGAGGTCTTGCCAAGTTGCCCGGTCTGTCTTGAACCCACGGACTCAGGCAATCCACTCATCTCAGCCTCCCAAAGTTCTGGGATTACAGGCTGAGCCACTAAGCCTGGCCAAGAAATAAGAATTATTTTTTAAAATGCTACAAACTTCATGACCCACCTGGGCAACTTGGCGGGACCTCATCTCTACAATAAATAAAAAAATGAGCCGGGGGTGGTAGTGCACGCCTGTAGTTCCACCTCCTTGGAAGGCTGAGGCGGAAGGATCGCCGGAGCCCAGCAGGGCGAGGCTAGGGGGGCCGGGAGCGGCCGCTGCACTCCAGTCTGGGCGATAGAGTGAGACTCCAACTCAAAAAAAAAAAAAAGACCTAGACTAACAAAATGACTACAGAAATAGATCATCTGAATAGATTCATTGAAATAGGGACTGAGCGCTTAATTCACAGACACCAACACCAAAAGTACAAG